CATAAACCAGTTTCAAAATGGCTGAAACTGGTTTGAGATAAACCTGATTGAATGTATTAATCAGATTTAACTGATTGAGCTCAAACCGGTTTATGCAACTTCTGTCCCAGACCCCTCCCTGGTTTAAGGTAAACCAGATTCCCCCAACATCCCAGCATGCTCACTGGGCTCTCTGCTCCAGCAGAGTAGGGCTGGGCCCACCCTTCTGCTCCCTAGCTGGAGTAGACAGGCAGGGTTGGGGGCCTGGCCAGATACTGGCCCCCAGAAGGGGACAGGGAAGAGGCTTATTTCCCCCCCCCCCCCGCCATGGACCTGCATTTCTCTGCTGACTGCTCCCGTGGTGGGAGGTGTGACCAGCCCTGGCAGCAGCCTTGAGTGACCTGGCCAGGGAGGGGGTTTAATTCCCTTTTCCCTGTCCCACTGGCATGGACGTGAGCTGGGGTTTGCTGGGTGTACCCCCCTCTCTGGCTGCTGCTGTGGCAGGGCTGGGGCATGGCCAAATGCTGACTGGCATGGCCCCAGGGGCAGGTATGGGGATTATTCCACCCTCTACCTCTACTACCTCTGGGGGACCTCAGCTGTGGTCTGCCAGCCCTGGCTGCTACCGCTGCCACTTGCTGCTTGAATGGAACAAGTGGCAGGATAACCCCCTCCTGTCCCCTCTGCCAGATGCCAGAAGGAGGGGGGAATAACACACCTCCCTGCCCCCTGACCTAAGGGCTCTGTTAGCTGGCTTCTGGTCAGGCCCCCGACCCTGCCCACTGGAGTGGTGAGGGGGCCAGGGCCCTGTCAAGTGTCCAGGGAGTGTGAGCCTCTTCCTGGTAGTGAGGCCACAAACAGGGGGTCAGAGCTGCCATGGATTGCATGGGGTGAGTGGCAGAACCAGGACTGGGAGGGAGCCATAGCCCCCCAAACCCCGCCAGTGCCGTGACTGCCACTTACCCCATGCAGTCTGCGGTAGCTTGCACTCTAGGATACCATGACAGGGGCTGCTGCTGCCATCATGGTTACCCCTCCTCGCTGGTCCGGGGCAGGGGCAGGACCAGAGGCCAGCTAGCATGACCCTCTTCTGCAGGGGGCAAGGAAAGGGGTTATTCCCTGCTCTGAGGTGAAGTGGGGGGGGCTCCAATTCACCCACTCCACCCTCCAGCACTGGTTGGGGAGCTCCTAGAATGAGCTATGATTTTGCATATGTCATGGGAACCTTCTGTTTCATAGTAACCAGAAGGATGATTGAACAAATAAATCAAGCGAAAATGGACATAATGCATTGCTAATGCAATGAACAACAAGAAAGAAAGAAGAGGCGGAGAAATAATGTCTTTTCCCTTCCAAGCATGTCACTGTATATAGAGATCTATGCAAAGCCCACATATGCAGGGAAGAGAGAATAGAACTTACAAAATTCTTTAAGGACCTCACTGTATGCATCTAACTAAAGTAGGATGTCATTCTGGGTGCTATAGAAGTTGCATCTTTGGATGGAAAAACAGAACAGTAAATTCCCTTGTCAAGTTTAAAACTTCCCAAGAACAATGGATTACATCTTGGGGACAATGCTAGTGCAAATCAATTGACAGACAACAAATGGTATTTAAGTGCAACCTGTACAATCCAGCTTAATGATGTGAAGGTGTAGTCTCTTCTTTATATTTAATATTCTAACATAGTTTCCCCTTAGGATAATAAACACCATGTCTATGCACAGAGCCACATATTATACAAAGTTTACTAAGAATCTAGCAAATTTTCAGGTCTCTTTCATTTGGAAAAAAGAAGTGCCAAGCAGTTCAAGCTTGTTTGTTTATGGCTGTCTCAGAATCAGTCTATGAAATGTTTCAGTTGAATTTACAAAGGTATGTCCAGCTGTTCAAGCGTGCAGCTGCTTGTTTTCAGGGAATTACTAGATGAAATTAAATAAAACAGTCAGATCATATGTAAACAGCAATGCATTTTTTTTGGTGTTTTTTAAGCCACTGCCAGTGTGATTCCAATGAATCATTCTCTTTCACTTGCAACTTTTTGTAAGCTTGTGGCTGGCTGTGATGTGTTACACTTATGGTTAATTTTAAAAGTGGAATGACAGGGTATTTGTCTTAGAATGAACTACTGGGTTCAGCAGATTCCCCGCGCTTGAACAAAGGACGTACTCATGGTTGTTTTCACCCTTGCAAAGCTTTATTTAAGGATACTCGCAGAAGCAGGCGATAGAACAGAGCAGAGAGGATGGTCACCTCACATCGGCCTTAGGCAGCAGCCACTACCCCACGTGGTTCCCCTGGCCCCGAGTGTCCTGATCCTGGGGATGTGATAGCCTGTGCCGGGGCTCCGCGCAAGTCAGGACTCTTGCCAGAGCTGAAGAACCCACCCTTAACTTAAAAATATACAGCTTATATAGTCTGAAGTAAACAACGTTATCTCAAGCTAAGAAAATGGGGATGAGTCGTAATCCAACGCACCTGGTGTTTACCACATCCCACTGTATAACAACATTCTACCTTCTAGGTTCATGGCTCGGTCACACTAACAGAGCAAGAGGCTACGTGCCGCTACACCCGCCTACTATGGAATCGGCATGCAAAACTCTTGCTATTAACAAAGCTCTTACTATTACAGTACACCCTTCAATTGCGAGACAGACCACCAAGAATTTGAGGTCTAACTCGCAATCGTCCTAAGTAGTTCGTACATGCTGGATGTTATACAGATGGGCAAGGGACCGAATGCACAGACACAAAAAGCATGTCCATAACAACAAGCATACAGCTACAATACAAATTGGGGGGGGCATGTACAATTGCCAGAAATACAGTTCCGAGTTGCACCTACCCATCCCCCGTGGTATAGGTAGGTAGCCACGAAGTCTGTGTCTCTATAGAGATACAAGCAAGATAAACGGACAAAACAGTACATAACAAAGTTAAAGTGATGCATAGCAAAAATGGGTTTCTTCCAAAGAGGCTCTGCCGTATAGGGTGTACCAATCCGATTAATGTTGTCAGCAGGGAGAAGATGGCTACTAGCCAAGCAGTCCACCCAGCAGCGTCTTCAGCGTCCCAGTGGGCCGTCATCTGGATTGAATGCTAAGGGTTCTAATCCCCTTGCTTTCAATTGGTCCCTGGGTCTCAAATGGTAGCGATTTCCACCCCTAGGTGCTACCCAATCAGTCAGCGGGTATAGGATCCTTCCCAGGTTGGGTTACCCACACCCGGTTGTGGGGGCTAGGGGTTAAGGCGCCCTGACCCACCTTTCACCGGGGTGGTAACTGGCCTGGCATTTCCTGGGGTCTCCTGCACCACTGAGAGCCTCACCAGGCCACCCACTCCTGGCAGGGTGCAGTTTTAGGTCGTACCCAGGACCATTCCCTACTCGACCCCCATACATCCAATTTTGCATTGCTTCTTCCCGCAAAATCCCCAGTCTCTCCTCCATGGTCCGCCAAGACCATGGCTCTGGGTCATCACGATCTCTCTTCTCTGGCCACTTGGCCATCCAGCATTCTATAAAGCAATCTAATAGTGGAGCATGGGTGCCCACTGGGGTGCGTGCAGTATGCATTGTAGCATTGTATAAAGTGTCTCTTGTTAGATTTCCTAACGCCTTCAATTCAGCTATGGTGACATTTACATGTACACCACTTTCATCGAGTATCCTTAAAATCCATGTTTTCAGTCCCTCTTTCGGCCCTTGTTGAAATTTCTCTGCCAAGGTACCCAATTCCACTGTTGTGTACCCCCTGATCTCCTGGGATCTACTGACTCCTGCAGGTCCCTGGGTGGTACGATCATAATGGACTGGTCATGCAAATGCACATTGGCACTCCCCACCATCTGAACTCTCAGCATGTTCGACCTCATCACTTCATATATGCCCATCCCCCTCTTCCAGATCTATCCACCAACCTGTGATCCTCCCAGCATCCCATGAAGGTATCCCTGTCGTCGCCAGAGCTTCCTCTGGTTTGGACAGCTGGGAGGCCAGCTCTAGCAGGGAGGAGGAACAGTTTGGGGAGACAGAATCAAGTTGTTTAGAACATAACTCATGCCATATTGCTTCATTCAAATTCAGATGTGTCTGCCAATGGATAGCCTGATCAAGCTGTTCCTGCAGACAGGCATTTTGTGTGCTCAGACGTTCAAGCACCATAAGGAGCAGCCAAGGGATGGTGCGTCTAGCATCACTCTCCCCCTCAGACTTAAGCTCCTTCTCAACCCACTGTTGCACCTCGGTGGGAGTTACAGGGCACTCCTCCTTACTCCAGTAAACAGATGGACTCAATTTGCAGAGTGCCTTTGCTAGCCCATACCACAACCCGGTATAGGGCCAAACTGGCATCCTTCTTTCTGATTCCTCTCCCTCCCCCTTCTGCAGCCTCTTAAATAGGTCCATGCCGAATGTCAGGGGAACCCCACTCCTGGTACCAATTGTCTTAGAATGAACTACTGGGTTCAGCAGATTCCCCATGCTTGAACAAAGGACGTACTCATGGTTGTTTTCACCCTTGCAAAGCTTTATTTAAGGATACTCGCAGAGGCAGGCGATAGAACAGAGCAAAGAGGATGGTCACCTCACATTGGCCTTAGGCAGCAGCTGCCACCCTGCATGGTTCCCCTGGCCCCAAGTGTCCCAATCCCAGGGATGCGATAATCTGTGCTGGGGCTCCGCGCAAGTCAGGACTCTTGCCAGAGCTGAAGAACCCCCTGTAACTTAAGAATATATAGCTTATATAGTCTGAAGTAAACAAATTTATCTCAAGCTAGGAAAATGGGGATGAGTCGTGATCCAACGCACCCGGTGTTTACCACATTCCACTGTATCACAACATTCTACTATCTAGGTACATGGCTCGGTCACACTCACAGAGCAAGAGGCTATGTGCTGCTTCACTGGCCTCCTATGGAATCAGCATGCAAAACTTTTGCTATTAACAAAACTCTTACTATTGCAGTATTCCACAGTCTGATTGTGTTATTAATTTTCTGTTTTCTTGATTATGACAGCTGGAAATGATGAAAATGAAGGCCAAGAAGCTGTGAGGAAAATAAAAGAAGAAACTTTGAATGAAAAAGGTACTATATTGTGTGCATTTGTAAAGCACCTACTGATTATATGGCATAGCAGTTTTCTTCTTGAATTAGAGATGAATTATTTTTCATAGAACTTATGTGCAAACAAAATGAGATTGTATTGGTCATATTTCTGGGAGGTGTGATGTTTTGGGAAATGAATTCCTTCTTCACTGTGTCTGAGTGTCTTTCAAGAGAAATCCAAGATATTTTTATGCAAAGGTTCACATTTATCCTTACCTTGGTCATTGAAATACTGCTGCCTGTAGGTTTTGCTGGGTCCCATGCTGGCTGCAGAAGGTCACATGTTCTTTGTTTGTATGCATGTGTGTAAGGGTTTATATGCGGGCCAAGGATTAGGGCACTAGTCATTCTGAATTCAGGGAAGGAAGATGACAATTAATTGTTTTTCACTGCAGGGCTTTAAAATTCATCCTTTCTGGAAAGAAAAGTCCAATGAAAAAGGGTGGGTGCAAATAGAGAAGAGATTCTAAACATATAGGGTCCTGTAAAAGACTCCAGGTGGCACAGGACTAGAGCTCAAATACATTAGATAGGTATTAATCCTCCTCCCAGCAAAAAAAAAAAATCTTTCAAGAGAAATGAACAAAACCGCCAGGAGTGAAAAGGAGCAGCTTTTTCTCTAGAATGTATGGTTTAGGGTCTGAGCCTGGGAGAGTGTTGGTACCTTTGATCTCAAAAACTGTGTTTTTACCACACTTATATATATCTGAAAATACATTTCTATTATGTTTTGAACTGCTAAATATGGAAGTTTGGACCTTAATAAATTCATCCTGTATAAAATGCATAATTTGTATCCATCAGAATCCTTGCAATTGCACCTATAGATGCATTTTTTAAAGTCTGGTAGAAGAATGAAGACATTTTAGGAATCTGGTAGCATTGGCTCATTACACTTCTGGTTTTGGGTTGGTTTTTTTAGGGGGATTTTTGTTGTTTTTTATTTTGTTTTTTTTTAACGTTGCAATTTTCCAGTTTTTAAACCTACATGCACTGGGAGCAAAGTTCTTCTGATCATGAAGGTAGGGTTACCATATTTCCAGTTTCAAAAGAGGACACCCGTGGGGCTGGATGTGGGGTGGGGGGAGGGAAAATATGATTGTGGTGGGGGGTACTGATATGCCCATGCCCATGCCCTGCCCCTAGCCCTCACTCCCAAGCCACAGCTTCCCCCAGCCCTGGTGCTGCCCCTCATTCCTGACCCACAGTACCCTGCCCCCCCAACCATGTTGATTCCTCTCACTCCCAACCCACAGCCCTCTGTCACTGCTTGTTCCCTGTGCTCCCAACCCACAGTCACCCCCCCCGACCCCTTGTGCTCCTCACTCCCGAGCCACAGCCTCACTAGGCCTGCTGGTGCCCCTCATTCCTGACCCTCATCCCCCTTCTCTCCCCAGCCCTGGAGCATCTCCAAGCTGCCTTGCCTCTGCAAGTAAGGGCACCAGCTCCAGTGCTGCAGATTGGTCTATGCAGCTCCCTGCTATCCCCCAAAGGGCCCCTCTGTCACTTTCCCCTGCTGGAGTGGTAGGTGCCTCCTCCACCTCTCCCACTGTGCTGCAGCCCTGAAGCCTGGACAGGTTCCCCCAGAACGAGCAAACACCTACCCTCCTCAGACACCCATCCCCTCCACAACCCCCCACATACACCTTCCCCAAGCCCTGGCCCTCCAACCCCCCCTCCCCCATAGACTTACCTGCATGCAGCTGCTGGAGCTGCTGCTACCACCCTTCCTGGCTGCATGCTGGCCATGTGCATGTGTGCGAGCATGTGCATGTGATGCCCTCTACCTCCAATTGCCCTCCCTCTGCTCCCCCTACCCCCAAGCAGTTCTTTTCTAGGGCAAGCCAGGAAGTCCTAGGGAAAACTTTGATGCTAAGAAGAGCAAAATCCCCAAAATTTGTTTAAAAATACCACCTGAACGGAGATGGGAGGACCCAAAAAGTGGGCACGTCTGGTAAATCCAGACATATGGTAACTGTAATGAAGAAAATCCTAAAGCAGTCGAACAGAAAGTATTGTTCAGGCAAAGGAAGACTAGATTTTTTACATCTGGAAATAATATCTAACAGCTTCACCAAGGAGCTTCCAGGATTACTTTTGTGATGTGATTCTTGGAGCATCCAAATGAGTGATCAAGTAGGAAAGCCAGAGAGGATTCTGGCTTTATTTTTGACAAAAGGCATATTGCAAACTCTTTCTTGTGCAATTTGTGTTTGTGATTTTGTTGTGGAAGTTGTTGTATCCATTATTTTTATGTCCTGAAACCACTGGGTGGTGTTCCTGGCATTTTCAAAGTGGTTTGTGATGACTCACTGAAAGTACTTCACTGTATAATTTCTTGGAAAAAGTGGCGTGTGCAGAACTCCACCCTCTTTAGGATCTTCGTGATTTCTACTAAAATCTGATTCTATTTAGTGCCTGTTTAATAATCATTGTTGTGCTGTTTGAAATAATTAAAATAATTTTTAGCACAACAATGACTAAAATTTGATTTTTATGATTTCTGTTAATATTTACCCATAGATTTGGATTCATATACAATAGTTAAAAGCATCATAAATTAAAATTTAAGAATCATAAAATGGCTAGGGCAATTATCGCTTTTTCTAAACCTTTTACTACAACTTTCATTTGAGAGAGAGACCAAAATCACTTTGACTGAATTTTATAGGTTAATTTGTACCAATTTGAATACATATTTATCCCATGTATGTGATTGTAGAAATTCCTGGCATTCTAATCAAAAGTCACTTCGTAAATGAAACTCTGATTTTGACTGATAAACCCTTCAACCTACACTTGGTAGAACACTTTGACACAGTAAGCTGAGACTGTATCTAAAGATGATATATCTGTCTGACTTTTATACATAGAAAGTTTGGCCTGTATTTCAGCTCTAATGGTTTAAGAGACCTCAGTAATTTTAGATCCTGATTGGTTTGGAATATGGAAAATTATGTATTTAATTCTGAAAATGTGACATTGAGTAGTCCTTTTATTTATAGCTACTGTATGTTGTACAAATAGACCTAGAATAGTGATTCCCATTTTTTTTCTATGCTGGGCAAACTTTAAATCCAAGACCAGCCATTATAATTGAATTTCTGTGGGGTTTGTGACATCTAGTGTGAGGATTGTGACCTGAAATAGAACCTTTAGCCCTAGTGTAGAATCCATCTTTGTTACAATAATCACTCTGTATTGATGAGATTTCCATGTGAATGGTTAGAAGTATGAGGTCTTCGTAACCTTCCAAATAGGGCCATTGAAACAAAAGCATTCAGGGAGGTAAGGGAGAATAACATTTGCGATGGATAATAAACAGAAAGGGAAAAATTGTGGCCCCATGGAGGTGAATGGCAGAGCTTTCACTGATTACAGCTGGGTCAGGATTTCATTGGAAGTATGTGAAGTAAAAAGGTTTCTTTTTGGTTTGTTTGCTCGTGTGTGTGTGTGTGTGTGTGTGTGTGTGTGTGTGTGTGTGTGTGTGTAAAAACCTTGTTCTGTTCCATCCCCCCACTTAGAAATATCAAAAATATCAAGCCTAGGCTTCCCTAATTTGTCTGAAAGATGGCAGGGTAGTCTGGTGGAAGCTTATTGTAAAAGCCAGGACTACTGGCTGAAACCTGGGCAGGGGGGAAGTATTACCTCTGGATTGATGGCATATTTTAAGACACATTAATCAGTATGCTTTGTGCTACTCTGGCAGCAGACACATGCTCAGCATCTGAGTCATTGGAGTGGTCTGTCTGCTGATTTAGAGTGAACATACTTCCTGGGGTTTACATTCAAATTATATTGCCAAATAAGGGGTGGAAATTATTCTTAAAAAAAATTCAATATCCCACAATCAACCACAACCAGTGAGGTTCTACTTTGAGTGCTATAGAAATGCATATAAAGAAATGCTCCAAGAACTTATTATATAAGAAGTTAAAGAAAGCCTAGAATCTTCAGCAACTGATCTTTTAGGAACATAAGCTTGTTGGAAAGAAGTCCCCATCTGTGTTGATGTGACAGTTGCTGTGTTGATCAACATACTAGAAACTATACTTGGGTCCAGAGCTAAAAGTACAGTTCTCTCTATGGCTTGGACTGATGAGCTAAGACTCTCTGGATGAGGTTGCAGGAGACTCATTGCTTATAGACGAGGTACAAGAGAGGGCTATGTCACACAGTTATTAGTGGGCTTCATTGGTAATTGAATTTTTCAAACTTTTGGATGAATCTAGAATAGATCACGTGATGTCTGTGGAGTTACTCCATAGTTTGAGAGTAGAATTTGACCCAGCCACTTTGCTATTTGTCACATGTGAACCTGGCCTACTGTTTCTTTGCTATTACTTTGAAATAGTCATATAAGTATTATGAGCTGCAGAAGGCTGCATGTCAAGAACTGCAATTTAAGGTAGATGATCTACTGCATCATTATAGTATTGGTTATCTTGATAATCTTCTGCATAATTAACTTTCAAACATTCTAGGAATGGGACTAGGAACTGGGACTAGGAAACAGGGAGCTTCTTAATGTTTGGCTTGAATGCTATTTATTTACTCACCTGAATGTCACATCCCAAAAGAAAAGGAAAATGTTTTTTCTTATTAGTAGGAAATCTTGAGGGATATCCCTTTGACCCAGTGGAGGAGGCTGTTGTGGTGGGGCAGAAGGGAAGTATGTGGAATAGGTGACTGGAATTTGTCAAAGTACTTCACAGTTATGGAATTACTCATCATTAAAATTGGTAAAATTGGAAATGCCTACTCCTGATAAAATTACCTTTCTAGTAATATATGGACAATTCTGTAAGTGTAAGGAAGGAATGAAGAATGTTCTCCCGTCTGTGTGAGTTCGTGCCGAATTATATAAGGACTGAATTAAGCACAGGCTCAGACCTGGATGTTCAATTAAAAACTTTTATTGTTTCACAAAGTCATAAACTAAGGAGGTCTGTTGGTTCACGAGGTTCCCAAATCAAGCC